ACAGGATCTCTCTTTATTTCTTCTTTTTCTTCTTTTTTCCTGTAATGGGGCTTGAATTCAGTACCTCAAGCTTGCAAGGCAATTGGCCTACAACTTGAGCTATGTACCCAGTCCCAGACAGGATGTTTCTTTGTAACTCAGTCTGGTCTTGACTCATAATTCTTCTGCCTCTGTCTTCCAAGTTCTGTGATTTGCAGGTATTATTTACCATGCCCGGCTCCTGCTTCAGCTGTTACCCAGCACATAAGAAGCTGTTGGAAAGCTAATAATTTTTTATTTTCTAATGAATTATTACTGATGATCACTTAATCACCTGTCCTCTCTGTTTGTTTTTTTCCTGTAGGGTGAACTGTCTCATGATCAAGAATGTGGTAGAGTATATCATGAATCAGCCGAATGTTTGTTCCACGAATCAATTCTAGGATTTTGACAGCTGAGCGAGAGTACCTGGATTAACAGCAAATAGTAAGAGCATTTCAGAAACAACTTTTTTTGGCTTTTTGATTTGTGCTTCAGATTCTTTGTATTTACATAATTACAATGCTAATAAGCCAAGATGGGTGACAAAAATTTATGTATGCACTCATTGTACCTTGAGTTCAAAACTATGAGCTAAACTCACCAAGAGATTTCTTCTAAAGAAGATAAATTTCTCTCTGTCCCCCCCCCTTTTTTTTTTTTTTTGGTGGTAATGGAGTTTACTAGGCAGGCATTCTGCCACTTGCTCTGCCAGCCCATGTGGTGTTTTTTTTGGTGGTACTAGGGTTCTGAACTCAGGTTCTGAACCTCAGGTTCTCAACACTTGAAACAGACACTCTACCACTTGAGCCCAGCCCCTTGTTTTTCTTAAGGTTAGGAAAAAAATGTTGTTTTGTTAGACATGAAAATAAAAAATCAACTTTTGCTATTCCCACACCAATAGGATAGGGAGAACATACTCTAAGTGGATGGACGAGGGGAAAGGAGAGATGAGTTAAAGGAATCGCTAAGAGATATCTTCCAGTTTGCAAAACCATAGTGGCATAGGATGGATTGAACTGGCACATATATAATGATGTCCATAGCGAGGCATGTGCATTATTCATTATCTTTGTGTGTTAAAGTATGATTAAAGAGGTAGGGGTTGTGTTGTGAACTTGTCCAGTAAACATGGAACTCAATATACTCACCTGTGCATTTTCATACATCTTATATTTTTTGTCAAAGGAGGTTGTCAGTCGAAATATTAACAGATTGAAATTGAGGCATATCATTATGTATGTTTGTTTCAGTTTTTTTTCCGCCCCCCTAGATAATTTCTTTGTGGATGATTACGCTCGATTTCTGTCTTGGATTCTGAAGGCAAGACTGCTGCTTTAGCCAATAGTATGAGCTATCTGACAAAGAAAGGTAATCCACTTAGGGCTTATCTTGGATTCAACATTTTACTTTAGTATTTGCAAACATTATTCAATCAACTTGAAAATGGAATTCAGTGTTTTGAGGAAAGAGATTCCATGATTTCTTTTATAGTTAGTTTATTAAATGCTTTGGATCTGGAATTCATACTTAAATTTAATTTTGTGCATTTGCTTAAAAATTCAAATGTTGTCCTTTATAAATTTTGTATTAGCTATTAAGGTTAAAAAGAATAATTTGTCACAGTTCAAAATGGAAAAACATTTATGATACAAAAAATGAGTTTAATGGATTGAAAATTAGTTTGACTTGCCTCCTCAGTAAAAAAAGATAGGGTTAATATTAATTTTAGGGTTTGTAGAAATTCTACAATTATTAGGGTTTGGGGTTTAATTCTAGAAAGCCTTATGTAATTTTAAACTGATTTTTAGCAGTTATTTAGTTAGGCTAAGAAGGTGTAAAATGAATCTTTTCAATAGCTGACAGATTCATTTCCCTCTGGTCTACTTATTACCAGTACTAAGCTGTCACATAAGATAGCTAGTTTTTACCCCCTTCTGTGGTCTTTTCTTGGAAGAATTTTCTGGTTTCCCAGGTATATGTAAGTTTAGGCAATGAACCAGGGTTCTTCAGATTGTTTCTGAGGAGTCCCTGGAACAGTGCTGTAGCACTAATGGGATGAAGAGCAGAAAAAAGGCATAGGTTCATGCTAGCCACCATTTAATTGTTTCACTCTTATAGTGGACATTATTATAGAAATGACATTTTCTTTTCTTCCACTCTTTTCCTTTGCCTTGTCTAGGAATGTCCTCCAAGGAAATCTATGGTAACACAAAATTTCAGAATATCCTATTCTTTTTTTAGTTTATCTTATGTGGTTTCCAGGACCATTGCCATTCAGAATTTAATTGACACTTGATTTTGTGATGTTTCTGAAACCTGTGGGTAACTATAGGCTGTATTAGTGCTGAGAAATGTGACTAAATGTTTGCAAATCTTATGATTTGTATTTAAAAGTTTACAAATTGATATGATTCAAGACTATATAGTGTTACCCTCATGTTTCATTTCACATGCTAACAGATTCTCATACCACAGTACAATTAATCCGTGCATGTTCCTAGTTCTAATTAAGCACTGTGGAAGGCTACCTTGCTTCATTTAGCAGCAGAGTTTGTCTACTTTGCTTTGTATCTTTAAGTAAATTGGTCATTTGATTAATTTTTGCATGGTTTTCAGAAATTAGTTGGCTTAATAACAATATTAATAACAACATTGAAACATTAGATGTGCTTTTTTCTATCAATTTGTCATTTTGTTTTTCTACAGATGATCTTTTATAGGCCAGTAACCTTTTTGGATTGTTTGGAGATTTTGACAGCCCTTCTGGAAGGCAGTTACTCTATGATGCTATTAAACATCAGGCAAGTATCTTGGACTTCATTCTGTGCAGAGTGTTTTGACGCTGCAGTTGTCCTCATGGGCATCTCTGTGCTGATGTGACTGTTCTGGTGGTATTGGAAGTCCTGCTTTCTTAATGCTTGAGGGAAAGGATCATTGTCTTCAGAGGTCTGTCAACTCATAGGAAGAGATCATATCCTAGCTTTGTTTAAGGAAATAGACTCTTTTATAGAAAAATGATTAGGTCTGCATCATGGACAGGTTTTCCCTGCATGGCTATGTTCTTGCTGCAGAGATACTGCAATGACCTTCTTGGTTTTACATTGAGAGAGTCCCATGTAGGGGGCAGCACCCCACAGGCACAGTAGTATTTGTTTCATAGAAGGAGATCTAGGTGCTGAGAGGAATACTCTTAAAAACTCTGAAAGACCTTGCACATGTACAGTAGGGCTGAGTGAATTGCAGTGCTCATTGATTTAGAAGAAATTGATTCTTCTGGAGACTGTCAGAAGGTGAGCTGTCAAAGTTCTTTTTCCTGAGCTGGTTCAGTTTGCAGCCTCAGCCAGACTTCATAATCCTCCTTGTATCCCCTTTCTACCTTTTGCCTTAGCAAGACTTAGTGAAATAAGGAAATACCCAGGGGATTTCAATGTCATTATGATGCCAAGTCTCTTTATTGTTCAAGGAAGTGATCTAGATACTGTGAGCATTTCAGGTTTAAGTCAGGCAGTTGTAGTGAAGGGTGAGAGATGTGTGTTGAGGCACTCTAATGAAACTGATAGACTGCTCATGTACAAGGATGGAAGAACTGGGAAGGAGAATTCAGGTTTTTAAATGCATATTTTCATTGAGGCAAAATATAGGTTCATGTGCACAGTGTCACAAAGTGTTTACTAGTTTTATTAATTTATTTATTTTTTCTTGGCAGCACTGGGGTTTGAACTCAGGGCCTCACGCTTGCTGGGCAGGTGCTCTACCACTTGAGTCACTCTGCCAGCCAGTGTCATAAAGTGAACACACCCATGTGACCATCCCCCTTCCCTACTTGTATTTGACTCAGTACTGTCGCCGTCATCCCTCTTCTCATGTCACAGAGAAAATTTGTCTGTGTTTTACTTGATTTAATTGGAATCTTTAGAATGTGTATTTGTTTGCATTTGGTTTCTTTATTCAACATTTTGTGAGCTTTGTTCACGATGTCACAAGTGAGTTAAAAGTTTCTTTTCATTGTGACGTCTTGTGATGTGGCTGTACCACAGTTTTGTTTTTTATTTAATCTATTTTGAGGGACAATGTGTTGTTTTTAATTTGCGGCTACTGTGAAGTATGCTGCTATGAATTAATATTTCTTGTACATTTATTTTGATACACATGTATAATTTTCTCTGTTGTTTATACTCTTGATTCAAACACTTTGATGGTTTTAATAGGTCACAGATCTCTTCTCCTACATGGATTTCTGTCTTTTTACCTAGTGGGAAATTGATTGTTACTAGACATCTGGAAAGGCCATGTGACTGAAGATGGTTTGAGCAGACCACTAAAGAATGGTTGGAACCTAGTGGGGAGAAGATGGCATATGGTTGAGGTCCAAATGCCAGCATGATGTGTATTAGAAGAATATAAAATATTTTGGGAAAAGACAGTGATCTTACGGCCTACAGCATCTGCTATATTTACAGGGTATTAAAAAAATGAAGTTAGGCTGGGTGCATTTGCTCACATCTATAATTCCAGCTACTTGGGAGGCAGAGGTCAGTAGGTCACAGTTCTAGGCCAGCCAGCAAAAGTTAGACCCCATTTTAGTCAATAAACTGAGTGTGGTGGTGCAGACCACCACTCCCAGCTATGTGGGAGACCTTAGGTAGGAGGATCATTGTCTGACACCAGCCGTGGAGGGACAAAACCACAAAACCCTACCTGAAAAAAAGTAACTAAAGCACAAAGGGTTGGGGCATGGCTCAAGTGGTAGAGTGCCTGCCTAAAAAAAGCAAGAAAAGAAAAAAAGGTTGGAGCCTGCCAGTTCTTGTAGGAGTTGAAGGCCTGACTGTAGCATCTGAATTTTATTCTGAACACAGAACTACTGAAAACTTTTAGGAGACTTAAATTTTGCTACTTATGGAACATAATTAATGTTAATACTGCTTTTTACATTCAAAACATCTACCACATAACTCTTACATACTGTTTTGTAAATAGAAATCCAGTAACAATGTTAGGATAAGCATGATCAATAATCCCAGCCAAGAGATAAGTTTTGAGAACACTCGGATCTTCAGAGCAATCTGGGCAGCTCTCCAAACACAGACTTCCAACTCTGCTAAGAATTTCATCACAAAAATGGCCAAGGAGGAAACTGCAGAGGCCCTGGCCGCAGGAGCCAACATTGAGGAGTTCTCTGTTGGGGTAAGACTGCGTGTTTTGAGGATGCTCAGTTCTGTCATTTGCAGCAGGTGTTCTCTTCCTGGGGCTGTTGTGTCCTTTCATAATCAGGATTTGTGATTAGTTTTGTGTTTCAGGGGATTTTTTTTTTTTATTTTATAATTTGGAAAACACTTTCTAAGAAATAATTCTGTCACATCCCTTTTTACTTTTAAACTTGCTTAGGTTTCAAGATATGCATAAGTTCAATGCCATTTGTTTTTTAGATAGACACTATCTGATTTGTTTGCAGAGTAAAAAAGAGATTGAGCTACTTATGAATCAGAGGGTTGTGTTTTTATGTGTTTCTAGTAAAAGTCCATGTTTATTCATTTATTTAATGTATTACTTTTTTGTAGTAAAGTTTATTAGGAAAGGGATCTAGTATAACAGGATAAAAGTGAGAAGAAATGGAGGGAAAAGGAGAGCAACCTTTCCTGTTCCCCATCCAGGAAATGGGAGTAAAGACTCCTTGTTATGTATTTTTTGATGGTGTTTTGTACTTTTTAGTTTCTTACAAAATAAGTATATTCAGTTTCTGTTAGAGAAAATGGCTGACACTTGAAATTAACAAGTTTTTTTTTGGCAGTACTGGGCTTTGGACTTGGGGCCTCATGCTTACTAGGCAGGTGGGTGCTCTACCACTTGAGCCACTCCACCAGCCCCTGAAATTAACAAGATTTAAAAACACATAGACTGCCAATTGAAAAAAATCACATGAAAAATTAGGAAAAGGAATAAAGTATTACTTTATGAGGAGGGAGAAGGAAGGGAGAATTGAGCTATCACAGTGTTAATTAGGAAATGTAGTTATTACTTTTTATCAGAAGAGTAGCTAGTGGTTTTTTGTTGTCATTATTCATTTATATGGTTTGCTTGATAACAATGACTTTTCCTTAAAAATGATTACTTTCCTAGGGCATGGATTTCAGTCTTTTTAAAGAGGTCTTTGAGTCTTCCAGAATGGATTTCATTTTGTCTCATGCCATGTACTGCAGGGATGTTCTGAAGCTGAAGAAGGGACAGAGGGCAGTGATCAGCAATGGAAGGGTGAGGACTTGTCAAGCTGGACAGGCTTGACTTCAAATTAGGTCCATAACAGTCTTTGCATCATGCTGCCTTGAAGCTAGTAAACTCTTCCAACAGAGCCACCCTCCTTTTAAGGTGATTAGGACTTCTGAGTGCCAATGATACTTCTGTTCCTTATTCCCAAGGAAGTGTGCTTTTTGGTATAACTATCCCTCTGTTTGGAGCCTTCCTGCTGTTTATGTCCTGCCATTGTGGGAGGTAGTGAGAGTGTGGTGGCTCTAAGAACAGAAATCAGTATAGCTTTTGACATAGAAAGTAGGCTTTGTTATTGATATTCACTGAGAATTAATGAAAACTACATTGTTATTTTACTTCAGAGATGCTTACTTGTAAAAAATAATGTAAAATGTGTAAGTCTGTACTCTGTGTTCCTGAGGAATTTGTAAGTAAAGAAATAACTGAGTTGTTAGACACACTTTCATTAACTTTATAAAAGACACCAGTCTCAGTTCTTTAAGACGTTTTGGTGTGTAAGATAGCCCGAGGCCAGCAGAGGCTCCTTGACAGCTGCCATGGGCAGACTGCTCTTCAACTCTGATGCCTGCTCTTTCCCTCATAGATCATTGGGCCACTGGAAGATAGTGAGCTCTTTAATCAAGACGATTTCCACTTCTAGAGAATATCATCTTGAAAACTTCAGGACAGAAAATAAAATCTCATATTCAGAGCTTCGGGTAGAAGAAGATGTGTAAGTTATGCTATAAAAGAAATTAGTTCATGCCATAGAGGTTAATTAAGACTTTTCCTCAGGTCAGAGTTAGGATTCTTTATGGTCACATATACAACCCAATCCAAGGGGTTTCATTTCTAGTTTTAAACTTTAATAATGGTCAAGTTTAATTTATGTTTCTGTTGAAACACAGCTAATTTATTTCATAGGCTGCTATTTAAAAAACAGAATTAGTTCTCACTTTTTGTTTTAACTTTTGACTCTGGAAAATTTGAAACATTTATAGACGTTCAGGGGCTAGTTTGTTTTTATCTGAAATGCTTATGTAAAGAGAGACTTTCTTCTTTTTTTTTTTTATTATTCATATGTGCATACAATGCTTGGGTCATTTCTCCCCCCTGCCCCCACCCCTCCCTTACCACTCACCCACCCCACCCCTTCCTCTCCTCCCACCCCCTCAATACCTGGCAGAAACTATTTTGCCCTTATCTCTAATTTTGTTGAAGAGAGAGTATAAACAATAATAGGAAGGAACAAGGGTTTTTGAAAGAGAGACTTTCTTTCCTTTGTCTGTTTGGCTGTCCTTCAATTTTATTTGTTTCAGGAGAAGAAAGGCAGGTTAAATGCTTCTTTTCCTTTGTTAGTACAGAATACTGCATGCTTCTTTTGTGTCTTCCAAAGGTTAGTTGTAGCTGATTTTTTTAGTTTTAGTGTTTTTATTTAATGTATTTTAGTGGGCTAATTCTCTTACAGGAAGAAAATAAATTATTTTACTGGACCATGTGCCTCCTATGTAACTAAACCTCATAGTCATATGTACCTAAATTCTTTGTTAAATAGCACATGAATGTGTAATTAGAGGATATATTTCTATGTTTAACTTTTTAAGAAACTGCTATGCTTTTTTAACAACTGCTCCAACATTTACATTCTTAACCAATAGTGCACAAGGGTTCCAATTTTTTTATATTCTCATCTTTTTTTTGTTTTTCCCCTGTTCTGTTTTTCTTTTAAAGCCTCCTCATGAGTGTTAAGTGTATTTCCTTGTAGTTTACTTTGCATTTTTGTAATGCTTAGTGATATTATCTTTTCACACACAGATTGATCATTTGTACATTTTTGGGAAAATGTCTCTTCAAGTCCCTTTGCTCATTTTTAACTGGCTTGTTTTGTTTGTTTAGTTAGTCGTTTATGTATTCTGGATATCAATTCTTTATCAGATACATGATTTCAGGTATTTTTCCCATTCCTATGTTGGCTCTTCACTCTCTTGCTAGTGTTCTTTGTTGATAGTGTCATCATTGGAGGATATAAAAATTTAAAGTTTGCTTGTTTTTTTTCCTTCATCTTTTTCATGTGCCATTATGCTATAGAGTTCAAGATACATGTTTTAATGAAGTATTGTCTTTCATAGCTGCCAAAGTAGTTCCTTTGCCATGTGATATGGGAAGAAATATTTTTATGGTGCTGGGTTTTGAACCCAGGGCTTTGTGCATGCAAGGCAAGTGTTCTATTTCTGAGCTGTATTCCCAGCCCTGAGAAGAAATCTTTTTTTCCTTTCAGCAAGTACTGGGGCTGCAAATAAAGAGGTTCCCTCTTAACCGTGGTGGCTCTAAATGCCGCCCCTTTTCCTGGCCTATGAAACACTTCCCTGATACAGGCCATGAGGTACTGCATGAATTGAAGCAACTGTGTCATGGCCTAGACTTGGTATGGCATTCCCTTAGAGTCTTAGTGAGCTATATAATTGCCAGATGCTGCCTACAGTACTCTTTTGCCAGCCAGACCTGGTTCTGGGTCTGTCCTTATTTCAAAAAATAAAGGGTTATCAGAATTCCTGCTTTGAGTATTCATTAGTGCCAGAGCTGCTCCACTTTGGAGTGGTCCCCTGTTATAGCCACAGCTTTCATTCATGACCCAAATCTGAAGTCATGAGGCTGTCCTCAGCTTTCTGAAGCTTGGCTGCGTGCTCTTTGATCATGGAGCTTCTTTTTTTTTTTTTTATTATTTCTTTTATTCATATGTGCATACAATGTTTGGGTCATTTCTTCCCCCTTCCCCCTACCCCCTCGCTTCCAGGCAGAAACTGTTTTGCCCTTATCTCTAATTTTGTTGAAGAGAGAGTATAAACATTAATATGGAGGACCGAGGGTTTTTGCTAGTTGAGATAAGGATAGCTATACAGGGAGATTCCTCGCATTGCTTTCCTGAACATATGTGTTGCATTCTAAGTTGATCATGGAGCTTCTTGAGCCTGTAGAGAGTTGCTTGTTGGCTTGCTCACTCTGGTCCACATTATCAGACATTGTTGGCCATGTTGTGGTTTTGTGACCATGTTGACACATCACAGACAGTATACGCTCTGTACTATATATATTCAGATTTAGTATTGAGAAATTAAGCCAACAGGTGACATGATATGGCTATTTGATTCAAAGAAAAAGTATATAAGCTTGATTATACTTTAATTATAATCACAAGTACTCTTGTAATGTTTGGTTCAACAACTAAGAACATTTTTTTTTAGGTGCATGGTTTAGTTCAAGATCTTTTTTGGTTAAAAATCAACTTTGGAAGGGGTGGGTAAAACAAATAATTTTCTTTTTTGTGAAGCTGGAGATTGAACAAGTAATAAAACATGCTACCAAGTAGTATAATCCTACTTTTGTTTACATATATATTTAAAAGTACATAAGAATTGCGAACTATATTGACAGAGCTTTTTGTTGATAATAGGTATTCTGTATAATCGCAGTTTTCTCTTTGTATTTTTTCCAGTGTTTCTTCAGTGAATGATTACCCTAATAATCCTAAAAAGTAAGAACATTATTTAAGAGAGGGTGAAGGAGAATGTAAATAATACTGATAGCCTGTTATGAGTCAGGCCCTAAGCTAGGTGCTTGATAAGTTTAACCAGTGCCACATTTAGTAGAGTCCTGAACTGTTAGCACTTCACATCTAGAAAAATGAGTAATGTCCCCAAAGCTATAAAACTAATCACTACAAAATCAATACTTTTCTTTGCCTGTTGGTGTAGATTTTATGCCACCTTTAAACTGTTTTGGTGGCATTTGGTATCTAAAGAGATACTAAGATTTTGTAACCCCATCTTTTAGGGCAAGTGACTTGGTAATGAAAGTGGATGCGCTCCTGTCAGCTCAACCCAAAGGAGATACGAGGATTGAGTACCAATTTTTTGAAGACAGACACAGGTATAGAATTACTGCTGAATTTATGCATGTTCCTGAATATGAAACTCAGGCCTGCCTTTATCTTGGCTCTTTTATTTTTCCATATAAGTTTGTATATAATTGTTATAGGAATGGAAAATTTATTTGGTGGACAGTTCTGATAGATACAATAGTGTTCACATATAAAATTAAATTGATGCAAGTTGAAATTTATTTCTAAATAGTCTAAATAATTCTGAATGGATCCTTTTACTAGGAAACAGTGTTTTTGAAACAGACCAGTTGTAATGTTGTGATGTTCAGAAATAAATCATTTGGTAAAGTACTTGTCTCATGCTTAAGAAAATATGTTTAGCATTATGAGGAAGTCCTTGCGTTTTTGTTTCTCAGGGTTTTGTTTGTTTTTTTTGCAGTACTGGGGATTGAACTCAGGGCTTCAAACTTGTTAGGCAAGCACTCTACTCTTGAGCTACACCCCAGCCCTTTTGTATTTTGTTTTGGAGACAAAGTCTCACTAACTTTGCCATGGATGGCTTTGAATTTACAGTCCTCTTGCCTTTGCCTGCCAAGTAGCTTGGATTACAGATGTGTGCCTCCACGCCTGGCTTGTTCTTTTTGAGATTGGTTCTTGCCACATTTTAACCTGCTGGCTTTGAACTTCAGCCCTCCTCTCTCCACTGTGCCCAGCAATACCCAGACATCTTTAGTGTAGATTGCCAGTTGTTGCAATGCCACATTTGCTTTATCTCTTGGGGTGTGTGTGTGTGTGTGTGTGTGTGTGTGTGTGTGTGTGTATGAGTTGTAAGTGTGTGTAAGTAGGCATTGCATGCAGCATTTATTAATGTTTTTATACACACACACATGTACCACATCTTTTTCTGGCACCATTTGAAAGTACATTGCATACATGATGTGACATGATTATAGTATACCTTCAGCATATGAATCCTGAGTATAGGGCCTTTCTCTAGAGTACTGTTTACATACAGAAATTTAACCCTGATACAGTAAATATACGCTTTCTATTCAAATTTTTCCAATGTCCCACTAATGTCTTTTTATAAGTGATTTTTATGTCTGTTTAGATCCAAACCACACATTGTGCTTAGTTGTCTCTCTTTTTCTTTCTCTCTCTCTATTCTCTGGGGTGGGGTGGGGTGGGGGGTTGGTACTAGTGCTTGAATTCTGGGCTTTGCCCTTGCTAGACAGGCACTCTACCACCTGAGCCATGACCCCAGGCCTTTCTTCATTAGTTTTTTTGGTTTTTGTTTATTTGTTTGTTTTCTTTTTTCAGGTAGGATTTCCAGTTTTTGCTCAGGCCTTAGATTGCCATCCTCCTACCTATGTCTCCTGCTTAACTGGGATGACAGGCATGCACCACTATGTCCAGCTTGTTGGTTGAGATGGCGTCTTGCTAACTTTTTGCCAGGGCTGATCTCTAACTGTGATCCTCTAGAGTAGTGGGGTAGTGGGAATTGCAGTTGTGATCTGCTATGCCTGCTTTACATGCTGGATGTTCTAAGTCTAAACTCCATTTAAAAAAAAGAAAATAAAAAGTCTGTAATTGCCAGAAACTAATACCAGAAGATTTTAGCAGTTTTTGGGTGAATATAATTTCAAGTGGGTTTTTCTCTCTTCAAATAAAGTTTTCAGTACATTTTGAGTGAGCCTGGGTTATTAGGGTTTTATGAGCTTTGGCCATAGACTTAATCTCATAGTTGACTGCCATCATAGCCAAGTTGTTCTAGATCTAAAGTTTTTTGAAATGCTAAGAGGGCTGGAGGGCTATTAGGTTATGTTAGACCAAAACCCCCGACAATTTAACTTCATTTTCTGTATCCTCCAGATTAATGTTTTATTCCTTTGATCTTTGTAGTGCAATTAAACTGAGGCCCAAAGAAGGGAGACGTACTTTGATGTCGTGGCTGTCATTGACCCGGTCACCAGAGAAGCACAGAGGCTTGCCCCATTGCTCTTGGTAGGGACTGCTGTGGAGGCAGCTCATATCACCTTTATCTGAAGGAGTCCTGTGCCTTGGGGTTCTCTGTGAGCTCCTTCTAGAGCCATTGGAAAGGCTCCAGGGAATCTGAGGCAGAGCAGTTTTCATAAAGACTGATCATGACGGCTCTGAAAACAGCTTCCCAACTTTAGCACATTGATACAAGTTTTGTGCTACTTCAAGTAGTTTAAAAAATGACTAACATTTCATTAGAGCAAAATTTAAATTGATTTATGCTATGTTTTAATTAGAAGTTAAAAAAAAAGTAAAACAATTCTCTTTTAATTTTCCTTTTTTATAATGACCATGGACTTTATTGTGTGTCTTATAGATGATACTATACATAAGATGTTAAATTTTATATAGATTTTAAAAAACTCTAACCAAAACAGTCACTTAAACATTTCATTAAATTGGTGCTAGCAGTTGAACCTGGGGCCTCACATATACTGAACAGGCCCTCTATCATACTAATCTATACTAATCTGTATCTAGTTGGAATTTTTTTTTTTTGGAGACAGGATCTCACAGTGTAGCCTGGGCTGCCCTTGCAAGTGATCCTATTGCCTGACCCTTCCAACTGCTGGTATTAAAGTTGGTTTCCACCCTGCCCAGCTCTAGTTGGATTTTTTTGTTGATATTGGGGTTTGGATTTAAGTCTTCAGGCTTGCCAGGCTGGTGTTCTACTACTTGAGACATTCCTCCAGTTCCCCTAGTTGGATTTTTTTAAGGTATCATTTTACTTAATGAAGTATGATAACTTTTTTAGTTTTGTACCTATTCATATTTTTTTAATGAGAGCTACAGCAGTGAGCTGTTAGGTTTCCTTATGTAGATGTTCATCATTTAACTCTGTTAACTTTATGTGAGGAACGTTGATCTGCAATAGCCTTTTCCCCCGCCCTTTTTAAACTTTTTTTCGTAACTCCTCTATGTATGATTTATTTATATTCTATATTGGAGTTGAGATTTTTGGAAACTTCTGCAGTGCAGACTTAATGGCAGTTACTATCTTTTATATCTTTTCCTGAAATATTAAGAAATGTTCTCTTTCCTAGCTCTGATGAGAAATTTAAGTATTCTGTAATCTTGTTTGTTCTTTTAGGTTTTGACTCAACTGATAAACATGAATCTAAGAGTATTTATGAACTGCCAATCTAAACTCTCAGACATGCCTTTAAAAAGGTAAAAAATACTATGTAACGAAATAATTGAAAAAAAATTATACCAAATCCAAAAACTGGTACTAAATGCTAAAGAATCAAGTGGGTTTACAAGTAGATGCGTCTTTGACAGACCATTTACTTAATGTTCAGTTATAGCCAATTTTTGCTTCAGTTGAAAGTTTTAAGAACATAACGTGGGCACAGAAACATCTAGGTAGGATCAGACTAGGCTACTTGCACATGTGCTTTCATTTCAAAAGAACAGCAGTTTTCTTAAGTTGCAGTGTGTATGTTAGAGGAAGCTGGCTTTTGTTCATTTGCATGCACCTTGAAAAAGTAGACCGGCTTCTCTGTGCACTGTCATGAGCTTTCAAATGGTCATTTATGACAGAAGCAGCATAGTAAGAGTACTAGTGATGCTTCTAGCGTACATGTTGTGGCTATGGGAAATACCTTACATGTAGGAATGCTGTGCCTATAGGTTAGATTATAAATGGATGCAAGTGCAAGTGACTAAAGGGATTCTAGCTTCTACTCTTCAACTTCCATGGAGAAATGTTTAACTTATTATATGTAGTGTCTTCAGGGCTAGCCCACGAACCCATTCACCACTTAGGAGTCAGATTTTAAGAGAAAAATGAATTCCAAAGAGAGAAAAGTACCTAGAAAATGCTGTGACCCTGATTGCAGTCACCCACTTGAAGGAAGGGCCTGTCCTGCAGTCCCACCTGTCTCACTTCTCTTTATTAGCAGCACCCCCAAAGGCATCACTAGGATGAAAGATGGTTGTGTAAATTCTTTTCCTAATCTGGAATGGTACCCCTCCAAAGTCTAGTCTGTTGCTTACCTGTGTGGATGCTTATAAACTGAAGGATTGTGATTGCATAGAAAAAAAATCTGACATTAATCTTTCCATTTCAGTTTTTACCGTTATGTCTTAGAACAGAGATTTCTTTCACCTCAGACAACAGGTTTGCGAAGGGTCCAATAGCAAAATTTTTGGATATGCCGCAGTCTCCACTATTCACTCTGAATTTGAACACTCCTGAAAGTTGGATGGTAGAATCCGTCAGAACACCATATGATCTTGATAATATTTATTTAGAAGAGGTAAGAATATCTTTCAAATATCTAATTGTGTATAAACCTATTTATATTAGTGGTGGTTGCTGACTATCATTTTCAGGTATAATACAGTTTTTATAAAACAACTTGATTCAGATGTAGTTCATATTCAATAAAGTTTACCCTTCTAAAGTATACATGTCAGAGGCTTTGATTATTCACAGAACCTGCAACTGTCACTACTATCTAATTGTCATCTGTTTTATCACCACAGAAGAAGCTCCATACTCATTAGCAGTCATCTGTTTTCTGTCTCTGATTTTGCCTAGTCTGACATTACGTCTAAACAGAATCATACAACATGTAGTCTTTTGTGACTGGCTTCGTTCACCTAACAAGTTGTTTTCCAAGGTTTATGAGTGTTATAATATGAATCATTCATTCTTTTTATAGCCAGATGATATCCTTCTGTGGATATAGCACACCTTATGTATGTATGTATGAATGGGCATTTGGGTTGTTTCTGGTTTGCCTTCATGAGTTATGCTGCTGTGGACACTGTATGCAAGTTTTACTGCTCTGTAACTGCAGGGTATCTTTCCATTTATTTAGCTCCTTAGTTTTTTTCAACAGTATGTAGTCCTTATCATTTTGAAATAACCTTAGTTATCTTTTCTCATTTCTCTTTCCAACCCAGTTTTTACCCAGTTTTTATAATCATGTACAGTCATTAACTGCCATTTCAGTCAAGATACATTACATTCTGTCATCCCAGAAAGTTTTTGGAACCCCCTTGCAGGCTATCCCTTAGCCCTACCTTATCCAAGAACTGGTTTGCTTTCTATAACTATCGTTTTGTCTTTTCTTGAATTTCTTAAAATGTGATGTGGTCATAGAGTATGTAAGTCCTTTTTGTCTGCTTCATTCACTTGGCAAAATACATTTTGAATTTATCTGTGTTGTTGCTGAATAGTCTGTAAGTGATTTAATTTTGATATTGCAGGTAGACAGCATAGTGGCTGCTGAGTTTGAGCTGGAGTACTGTTACTAGAAGGTCATTGTTATAAGACATCACTACAGGCCAGCCTCCACGAGGACTGCAGTTTACATTAGGAACTTCAGCCAACCCAGTCATTGTGGACACAATTGTTATGGCCAATCTGGTAAATAATCAGTTCATTAATGGTGACATTGCAATCATGTAATTTAGTCACTGTAATTCTTGATGGCATGATTAGCA